CGCCTCCACCGTCGACGAACGCCGAGTGCTGGGCGCTGTTGTTTCCATCGGCCACCAGGGATCGCCGCACCGCACCACCACACCGCCACCATTGCTGTCGCCATCGCTGCCGCTGAAACTCCACCACGTCCCCACTTGGAGGAGGGTGCCCCCTACCCTTCTAAGGGTAGGTACCCATTTATCTACTTGTATTTTTAAACTTTCGAACCGCTGGGTGGGCGGGATATATGAATAATTTTCTCAGATACTGAAGCTGAACATTTTAAAGGGAAGGAACACTGATAATCTCCAGGATCCCCACCCCACCCCTCAGGATCCACCTAATGAACTCATACTGGGAGGGAAGGCAGCATGGTATAGCTCAGTCTCATCAGATCTCAGAAGCTAAGTAGGGTCGGTACTTGGAAGAGAGACCACCAAGGAAGACTATTCAGAGGAACACCTCTGCTTCTCACGTGCCTTGACAACCCCTTTCTGGGGTCACAATAAGTTAGCTGTGACTTCGTAGCACTTTACACACACATATGCACAATGAGCTCACGGGCGAAATAAGACTTGATCTGGGGACTGCCTGGCTCAGTTAGCCACTGCACTATACCCATTTCCTTTTACGCACAAAATGGCTCCATACATGTGGCTCAGTGATGTGCTTACTGTACCAATAATATACCATTAAGCTCCTGATGCTAAAAAATATGGTTTGAAATTCTCAGATGGAAACCAGTATAATCATAAACCATTAGTGTTGTCTTTAGCAAAGTAGCAATACAAGAATATGGATGCTTAAATGATATTTCCATGGTATTGTAAAACAAGAAATGTTCTGCTGACTAAACAGTGGCAGTTCTGCTGGTCTCGTTCCCCAGTGTGAGTAGAATCGTACCAGTATTAAATTCACTATGACACACAAAATGTCTAATTTGGATGTGAAAGAAAGAAATCCAAAGGAATGACATTCTCACAATGAACAATCAAATCCACTGTAGCCTACGTTCATTCTATTGTTTTTAAGCACACAGGAAGACTTGCCACTGATACCTATACAAACTACTCCTCCCAAAATGCATTTAGGATCAGGTTATAAAGCAAAATACTCAATATTCATACTGGGGTCTAGCAACAGAACAGACAAACTGGGACTCTGGCTCAGTGGCAGAATGCGTTTTGGATGGAAGTTCAATCCCTAGCCAATGTTCCCTCTAAGCTGTGGAGTCTTGTGAGCAAACATTCTTCTTTGTGAGCTACTGGCATTAAAGTTGTGAGTGAGTGATTTGGATACTGCATAAATTAGCTTGCTCTGGAGCCATCCTCCCTGAGCTAAAACAAAAATCTGTGAGCTAGAGGCTAAAAATCTGTGAGCTAGCTCACACTAACTCAGCTTAGAGGGAACACTGTCCCTAGCATTTCCATTTAAAAGGACCAGGTGAGAAATGGACTAATGAAAACAGGGGAGAACTGCTGCCAGTCAGAGTAGACAATACTGACTTGGATGGTTCTGATAGCCTCATGTATTCATCTATTTGATGGAAAGACTACATGCAGACATTTATTGCAGAAATAATCAATTTGGTAATGTAATTGGATTTTAAAAATCTTTTGTATATTTTGGGTATGCATTTAAATGTTTGGTTGATTTATCTAGATTTCAACATATGTTACAAGAAAAAAGACAGAAAGGAAAAAGGTGCAACTCAGCCATCAACAGGGTTCAATTCAAGGTACTTGGTGCTTTGGCGGGGTCAACAGTGGAAGGGCTTCTAATGTCCTGGCCCCACTGGTGGACCTTCTGATGGCACCTGGTATTTTTGGCCACTGTGTGACAGAGTGTTGGACTGGATGGGCCTTTGGCCTGATCCAACATTGGCATCTCTTATGTTCTTATGGTCATCATATACAAAGCCCTTCATGGCCCTGAACCCTCATATAAGCAGGATTGCCTCTCCTCCTATTTCCTGCCATGACAACTTTGCTCACCTGAACAGGGTCTTCTACAGGAGCCACCCTGCAAACGGACAAGATCAACCACTGTCTGCAGACCAGCATTCTTCATAGTGGCCCCCACCCTAAAGAATGGCCAGCCTGAGTAGATCAGGAAGGCTCCCACACTTCTGGCTTTCAGAGAACTATGTAAAACAGAATTGTTCAGGAGGGCATTTTTATAAAGGAGTAGGGCTGCATCATATCAGGATGGTTCAGGAAGACATTTCAATTGAAGGAACATGGCTGTGGAGCGTACTACGAATAAATATTACCTGTTGTATGTTTTTATCTTGCTGTCTCAGCATTACATTTCTATTGATGGTACTGACTTGCGTTATGTAATCCGCCTTGAGTCTCAGTGAAAAAGAAAGACTATAAATAACATAAAAATAAAGTGACCTAAAGAAACCGCAGAATTATTATAAATTATTTATAAATAAATATATGGTGTATGTGAAACACATATTATTTGTTGCTTTACTGTGGTCTTCCTAAATTTGTTATATTTTGATAGAGGCTTACATCAATTTTCACATACAGTGTCAAAAACTTTAACAGACAGTGCAGTGTCAAGTACACTTCTATTCCAACTGCATTTACTTAGAACTAAATGGGATTGTTTCCATGTGTACTTGTTTAGAATCACGGCTTTTGTTTTGTTTTGTAATTCAGCCTTACAGGGCTGGGCCACTTTCATTAAGAAAACTTCTTCAACCATTACATATAGGTGGTGGTGGTGGTGGGGTTAGCTGCCAGGAAGGGCTAGTTAGAGTCAAGTGCTTGAGTTCAGTGGCATCTCCAAGACCAACAAAGTTCAATTCTGGGTATAAATGAGAACTGAGAGACTTGGCGTGTGTAGATGCACACTCCTTCAGATACACTGAAACAGATTTCCTCAAATGTTACATATAGGTAAAGAGACAGAGGGTTTAGTTGCCAGGAAGAGCTGCTTAGACTCAAGATGCATAAGTAACTGAGCAATAAATAAAGCTAAGATTCAAATAACACATTTGGTAAGAGTGGTGGATAGCAGCAAATTGACATATCTATATATATAAAAGAAAGTCCCCTCACCATAAAATCAACGCCCAGGCCAAACTGCTGGACCTAGAAACACCAAATTTGGGGAGAGTGCGGCGATATCCGGCCCGTGTGACCGGGGCCATGGAGTAGCTTCCAGTCACAATTTATATCTTAATTTATATCCTAATTTATATCTTACCTGCACATTTTCCAGAATCTCCTGTACACGGTTCAACAAAATTCTTTTCCTGGAATTTTGCCTCCAGAGTTCAAAGTCCAGTGCTTTTTGTCTGTCTTGCTGGATTTCCTTTTTTCTCTCAATACTAAGCTGCAAAACAGATGGGGGGGGGGGGTTTTGAAAGAAAATGTTTACATAGTAAGTTTCCAGTCACAATCACCTGTAACAGACTGTGATACATCACCAGTACAGACATATTTCATTTATTTTTTTATTAAGCCTCTTTTTTGTTTTGCATAAAAATAGAGCTAACAAATAAGATTTAAGAACACAGTCAAAAGAACAGTTAACGGTTTTGTATTTGTAAAATTGATCCCTCCGTCAATAAAGTCCTTTATGTCTAGAAGAGACAGGCTAAGTACAGTTTAAAATTTAGTTTGTACTAAGACACATTCCCGACCTGGATAGCCCAGGCTACCCCCATCTCATCAGATCTCAGAAGCTAAGCAGGGTCAGCCCTGGTTAGTACCTTTATGGGAGACCTCCAACGAATACCAAGGTCATGATGCCGGGGCAGGCAATGGCCAACCACCCCTGAACGTCTCTTGCCTTGAAAACCCCTCTGGGGTAGAGATGTGAAGGCCCGGAAAAATTCGGGGGGGGAAACAGTTTTTTTCCTGAAGTCGTTTTGGTTTTTTCCAAAAAATTGGAAACATTGAAAAAAGGAAAGAAAAGGGGAAAAAATTTATTATGGAACGTTTTATTTTAACGTGATGAATAAAATATTTTAAGACAAGGTGTTCAAATATTTTCCAAATCATTTCTAAAATATATATATATGGTATCAGATTGATCTAATTTCTGTGCACTGAGGACAAGCAAGTCCTAGGTTACAAACTGAACTCTCCAATGCAAGAACAAGATGCATTTCTTCCTTTAGGAGGTGCGATTGTCAGAAGAAAATAAAAAAGTTTCAGTTTTGTTTTTGCATGTGGGTGGGTATTCTGTTTGTAATAATTGTTTGGATACACTATATTTTTAATATGCTAGTTGTGATAATTTCATGCCAAGTAAAAATGTCCATAGTCATATTTTATGTTCCTAAAGTAACAGAATGACTTTCAATCTAGAAAAGACAAAAGAAATGCTAATGTAGCATTTCCCCCCCAATTTTTCTGAAAATTTCCGTTTCCCCCCGGAAAAAAACGGAAAAAATTGGGGTTTTTTTCCGAGCTTCAAAATTTCCGGAAATCTCACAACTCAAAAAGCCCTGACCCAAGTTCTAACCAGTCTCATCCTTTAATTGGAAGGAACTTGCCCAGGAGACAGATAGGCACTTCCTTGTTGGTTATATAGAAGCCAGCTAAACAGATTTGGGAAGGGGCCCGGAGAAATGTCAGAGCGACTAAGAGAAATACAAAAAGACCAGCATCACTCAGAATCTGAACTTCTGATGTGCGACTGAAAACCACTATGGCTATTATCATCCACGGACACAGAATGGCATCTCTCTCTGTCTCAATGGTGAAATTCTTTGCACTGGAAAATACAATGAAAACCAATTCAACTTTCTATTGGAAGTAACTGTGATGACCGCACTAGGACTACCTTCCTGGTTCCACTCAACCAATTAGAAATTCTAGCCTGAGCTTTGGTTCCAAGTGATTAATCAGTTCCTTTTTGGCTAGGGTTGAGCAGTGATCTAGAACTGCAGATGGTGGCAGTACTATGAGCTCCTGCTCTTTGAAAGAGCAGAAAGCCAATCCCATTCTATTTGTCACAGGTGGAGAATCCCTGCTCATATTCTTAGCATACTGAGTGGGGTTTCATTTTCACACTCATCAGACAGACACAAAAAGGCTTGCCCTCTGACCTTACAAAGGAGTTACGGACCTCTTGGAATATGCTCAGGGGTCCCACAGTGCTAGTCGGAAAATTGCTGTGATATAACATTAAGCTTAAGGAAAGGAAGCAAAGTATAATATATTCAGAATGCTGATTATTCCATTGGAAATATACTATGCATTACTTCTAGAATTACCATTGTGGACTTCTTGCAGAATTCACATGGTAATTCTTTCTTCACCATCTTCATACCTCTAAGCAGCACCTCAGCACACACCCATCCATACTTCATTTTGTGCAAGTGTACACTGAATACAAACCTGATATCCATTCATTTTCTTTCCACTAATTTTGTATGGAAGAATTTTCTATTTAGCCACTAGTTTAAATAGAAAAGGTTTTAAAAGATGCTTCTATAGAATTTTGTCTAAGTTAACCCCCCCAACCCTATATTTGTAGATTCTTATAAAATCAATTTACTTTTCAACAGTAAGTGATGTGCTGACAGAGTGCCTATGGTTGTGTTCCTTTGCACACTCACTGGAAAGTAAATATAACTGAAATGAATGGGATTTATTTACAATCTAATGTATGTGGGGCTGTGGCATGTTAGCACCTTAATTAATCCGTATGGATTTGATTTTATAATTTTGAAGAGTCAAATCAAAGAGGGCAATACCACAACCACAAAATAATTGCTAGGTACCCCAGAGTTTACAAACTATCTCTCTTAATAAGGCTATGTCCCTTTTCACCATTCAACTTTCTAAAAGAGAACTTATATTTTACAGAGCCCCCTCTCCATGACAGGCCAGTTTTATTTAAATATGAAAATTGCATCATGCAAGTGTCAAATTTCACCTAAACTTAACACTTGGGACTGAGAAAAGGAAAAGCAGTGAAACACCATCACTGGCTTTAGCCCCTTGTCCCTCACTCCATAGGGAAAAAATTATTTAATGTATGTTATTTATAGTCCACCTTTCTCCCAGGGACACAAGGCGGATTAGGCAAAGGGAGTCAATGCAATCAACAAAATGGGACAGTCAAGAAACGATGTACTAGAACTGTACAAATCTTGAACCAACCAGAAAAATGACCAGAGTCTACTTGGAAGGAGCAGGGAAAAGGAGGTGCAACTGAGCAAAGGCCAGT